ACCCTCTGATTCACAATATTTAAGTGACCCTCTGATTCACAATGTTTAAGTGACCCTCTGATTCACAATATTTAAGTGCCCCTCTGATTCACAATGTTCAATGCTGGTTCTCAATAAAGGTGACTTGTGGATTATGTAGAAGAGGGCAGGAAGGAATATCATCATTGTTCATCCGATAAATTATACAATAGAGTACCGATGTGAATCGGACATTAAGAATCACTAAAAGTACGTCGACAGTCCCTTAAAATATCTACCTCCGGGATTAAAAAACTTTAATTTAAACCTTAAACACACCAAAAAAGTAAAAATCACAAAAAAGGTGGTTGGATATTCAATACAATCTGATTAAAAATGTACGAGTTTTTATGAAAATCTGCGAAATATTAATGGAGCCTGAGCTGAAAACTTTTGAATTGGATATCCTTAATCCTGATCGGATAATTAATCTGGAGATTAAAAATGAGAAGAGAACAAGCAATATTTAATTTGGAGATTAAGAAAAAGAGTGGATTAAGCATTAATCCCGATATCCACCATTCTAAAGTTTTCAGCTCTGAGCTGAAAACTTTTGAATGGGATATCCTTAATCCTGATCGGATAATTAATCTGGAGATTAAAAATGAAAGGACAACAAGCAATATTTAATCTCGAGATTAAGAAAAAGAGTGGATTAAGCCTTAATCCCGATATCCACTAAAGTTCTAAAGTTTTCAGCTCAGGTAATAAATGTTACTTGGAACAAATAAGAAAATTTTTATTCCCGAGATCATGAAATTGCGAGTAAAAATGCGGGATAAAAATTCTCCCGAAATTGAATTAAAAATACAATTAATCCTGATATTTATATAGGTTTGGAAGGAAGAGTATGATGTTAATATGCTTGTATACACAATGTATTATTGGAATAGGAATACATTTCATTCAATCCCTAGTTCTATTTATTGGGCTTAGATTCATTCAAGGAATATTCATTCAGGTGAATACATTTATCCAGGGGATATTTATTTATTCATCTAGGAGATACATTCATCCAGGGGATATTCTTTTATAATCATCTAGGAGATACATTCATCCAGGGGATATTCATTTATATTCATCTAGGAGATATATTCATCCAGGGGATATTCTTTTATAATCATCTAGGAGATACATTCATACAGAGGATATTCATTTAAATTCATCTATGAGATATAATCATGCAGGGGATATTCATTTATATTCATTTAGTAGATATATTCATTCAGGGGATATTCATTTATATTCATCTAGGAGATACATTCATCCAGGGGATATTCTTTTATATTCATCTAGGAGATACATTCATTCAGGGGATATTCATTTATATTCATCTAGGAGATACATTCATCCAGGGAATATTAATTTATATTAATATAAGAGATATATTCATTCAGGGGATATTCATTTATATTCATCAAGAAGATATATTCATTCAGAGTAAATTCATTTAGAGTATATTCATTCCGAGTATATTCAATTAAAACTTTAGTCAGAATATTCATTCAGGGTATATTAATTCAGGGTATATTCATTCAAGGTATATTTTCATTCAGAGTATATTCATTCAGAGTATGTTCTTTCAGGGTATATTCATTCAGGGTATATTCATTCAGGGTATCTTCATTCAAGGCATATTTTTATTCAGGGTAAATTCATTTAGGGTATATTCATTCAGAGTGTATTCATTCAGGGTATATTAATTCAGAGTGTATTCATTCAGGGTATATTAATTCAGAGTGTATTCATTCAGAGTATATCCATTCAGAGTATATTCATTCAGGGTATATTCATTCAGGGTATATTCATTCAAGGTATATTTTCACTCAGGGTATATTCATTTAAGGTATATTTTCATTCAGGGTATATTCATTTAAGGTATATTTTCATTCAAAGTATATTCATTCAGAGTATATTCATTCAGGGTATATTCATTCAGGGTATATTCATTCAGGGTATATTCATTCAGGGTATATTCATTCAGGGTATATTCATTCAGGATATATTCATAAAGGATACATTCATCCTGAGACTACAATGGTTTACCTACAGTGCATAGTAGGCTATAAATACAATAAAATACAATAAAATACAATAAAAGACGACTTTCTACTGCGTTTTGATTTCAAACCAGCTTGCACTAAACTGCTTTCAGAGTAAACGCGAGAACCTGAAAACTGTTGAAAAGGAAAAAGAAATTAAATCAATAATTAAATGCGTTTGAAGTGGTTACAAAGCAAAATTTAGTATTAACTTATTAATTGATCATGAATGGTCTGTGTACACTGCACAATTGCTGCGTCTTATTTCCATTGGACAATTAAAACTTGAGTCTAAAAAAGTCGTCTGACTATTCCAGTCTATAAAGCAATAATCAGAGTAGCTTCTCAGTTTTCATATTTATTAATACAAATTGTTTCGAATTGCTCCTTTTCAGTTCATAAATATGGTTATATGTTATGGAACTGTTCCCTCCTGGATGGAGAACTATGGCTGGTTGTGTTGTTGAAGCATTTTGGGCAGGAGGTAATTTCGCTTTTAAAGGGAACCTACAACTGAACACTATTTTCTTTTAGAAAGAAAAGGTTTATTTAAACTTACTTGTACTGTCTCTTTAAAGTTTTATCTTTAAAATACATCTGATATCTTGATTAATAAAATACATCTAATATCTTGATTAATAAAATACATCTGATATCTTTATTAATAAAATACATCTAATATCTTGATTTATAAAATACATCTGATATTTGATTGATAAAATACATCTGATATCTTGATTAATAAAATACAACTGATACCTTGATTAATAAAACTCAACATTTTTTCGTGTTAGAAAGTATAAAATAATAATAAGCAATAAGAACTAATGATTTTTGACTTATTTATTTCAGGCATTGTATTGTTAGCTCTTATTGCTAAATATGTGCAACACTGGAGATATATCCAACTAGCAATAAATATACCAACACTGGCCACAGTTTTTTATATTTGGTAAGTAAAAAAGTAAAAAAAATACGTTCGTTTTTGGTAGATTTTTAGAAATCCAATTTCTGAAGGGTTCGGATGCAAATTTTGGGTGATTTTGATAATTATAGTAATATTTATTTTATAAATCGAGGCGACTGATTCCGCAAAAATGTTACATTTTCATGACCCCATCATGATGTTTTTTAAAACACAGACTTTTACTTGTTGGTCGGAATGATCTAAAAATATCTAAAAAAAACCCTTTAATTTGTTTATTAATTGATCTATGGTCTAGAATTCACATGTTTAAAAAAGCCTTTAATAAGTTTGTCTGTATTTGAGAATAATTAAAATTTTTTTTGATTATGTTGATTGCTTTATCAAAAGTAGTGTTTCCAGCAAAAAAATTTTTTTTCGCGAAATTTCGCATTTTTTGCAAAAGTCATGAATAATATCATAATATCAAATATTATTTTCACTTAGGATTATACCAGAATCTGTAAGATGGCTGATTTCAAAGGTTGGTAAATTTTCCAGAATCAAACTTTAGAAAAATTTCTAATTTTTATCAATAACAAACAAATAAGAAACATGATCAAAACAAAAGCTTATCATGGCGTTTATTATCAAAAATAGATACACAAGTTATATATCAAGACGTGTCTATTTTTTTTTAGACAATTCCCAAATAATGTCTGTCTTGCTATAGTTACATCTGATTAAGTTTGTTGGACCAATTATATGACCCAAGGGAAGGTTTAAAAATGCCTAAAAATCCCCAAATAAAAACATCTAATCTGCTGTACAGTAGGACCCATAAAAATGAGTAATATGAAAACGACATTAATTAAGCAAACTTGTTCACATTTGAAGTTATACGCTTCTGGGTGCACATTTAGCATAATAGTTTACCAGTTTTACCGGTTAGCTTAAAAATCAAATTATTAAGTCAAATGGGTTTTTGTACACTGCACAATTTCTGTTTTTTATGTTCATTTTTAAATCAGTCGTCTTCCTATTCCACAGTTTTATTGGTCTCCCTGTATAATTGAATGGTTGTGTAGGGGAAGGTTGACAAGGCTGAGAGGATTGTGACCTCTATTGTTGGATATAACAGCCTCCATCTTGATCTTGACATCCTGAAGGCCGAGATGCAGACCTTGATGACCTCAGCATCCTCCAGGCACAACCCTGGGATTGTTGATATATTCAGGTAACACATTTAAAGGGACTGTCAGCAAAATTTAAAGTTTCAGTATTACCCACAAAAGATGATAGGTAGACAGACAGACAGGCAGACAGACAGGCAGGCAGGCAGACAGACAGACAGGGGCATCTGAAGGGAAGGGGGCCAAGGGGGATGTAAGATAAGATGTATGAGGTATATCTGTATGGTTTGTTTAGTACTGGATCGTGACCTAATCGGTATCAAGCCCTATCAAGCACTGAGAACAGATATTTTTTAATTAATCACTTCCTTCCACTACAATCTAGAATTATATTAAATTTAAACTTGGTTAGATATACCCCAGTAGCATATAATTAGTAGTTTTAAGTTTATTGACAATTTATTTATTTGATTTAAAGGAACTGTCTGTTTCATGTCACGCCTGATTTACCCTTTAATTGACAATAGAGACATGTGTTTTTTTTAATTTTTATTCTCAGCTAAAAAGCATTGCTATCTCCGTCATCGATTAACAGACAATGGGTTTAAAGGGAATGAAAGCGTAATTTCAAGTGACCCTCCATGCAAAGATGGCAATACCCGATTCACAGCGGTACCCTTAAAAACTACGTCTGATTCTGTATGATTTACTTAAAAATGTGTATGACTTTGAAACGGATTAATTTTAAAAACGATCGTTTTATAAAAAACTATTATTATTTGTTTTCTAAAAGTTCAAAACGAGTGGCTCGTTTTTAAAAACGGTAGTTTTTTTTCCGAAAATGAAGCGATCGTTTAACAATTGTTTTTAACCCTCTCTAAAAAAGTGACATGAAAACATGTTGGAGTATCTGTCGAAATAAACACTTTTAAACATACAATATCTTCCACAAATGGATCAAATAAAGGTTTCATGTAAATCTTACAATGTTATCCTTGTATATAGGATTCATTCAACATACACTTTAAGACCCTTTAAGTGTATGTTTGTAAACTGTACATGCCACATAAATGGAGGTTCACAAGAAGTTACGCCTCCAGTTCCTTTAACCGTTAATATGTTCAGGCTGCCAACTATCCGACTCCGAGCTCTGGTTCTCTTCTTTATCTGGTTCTCTGTATCCTTGTGCTACTACGGTATCACATACTTCGTCCCGAACCTGTACGGGGATAAGTACCTCAACACTATCCTAGGTAGGATTCGGCAGGTTTTACTTGATCGTTCTGTTTACGATACAATGAATAAAAATGAAAAATTATTGATTTTGAAATGAGAAAAAAAAACAGAGATAGTTTTTCAAAATGAAACGAAACGATCGTTTCAAAGTATTTTAAAATCAAAAACAATAATATAATGAATATTTGCCATAATTGTTTTATCAGAAGGGCATTTTTTAATGTGGCATTTTTACAAAAACCAAGTAAACCTTCAAAATCTAGCTTTAGTATAATTTGTTAACTAATTTACCTAAAACAATTGTCAAGAACAATCTGCTTTTAATCAGCTAGATCTATCCTCTATATAATCACTTTGTAAACAATTGATTTTTTGTTTGGTTTTTCATTTACTAAAGGTTAGTGATTTTGAAAGAAAAAAAACGATTTTTTTAAACGATGTAAAACCTAGGTGGCGGGATAGAGCTGGCCGCCTACCTACTCGCCTACGTCGTGCTGGGAGGGTTCGGACGGCAGGGGCCACTGTGTGGATATCTCCTACTTAGTGGGACTATCTGTATAGCTGTTGTATCTGTTAGAACATTTATACCTGAGTCTGCTATGGATGTTACAGCGCTAGTTACAGGTAAATTTTAGAGTTTTTTTATCCTGTTTTTTAACATTCAAGATTTTCTAGAGGACTTGAAAAATCTGAATAGCTTAGCATATTTAAAATTGTATTTTGTTCTTACAGGTGTTTATTCGTTAACTTTGCCCAATATTCTAACCATCAAGTAACTTCATTAGTCTTAAATAGCAATATTCTAGTGTGGGATTATTGCACCTGCCTCAAACTCTGATCGTCTCATCATCGTATTTTGCAACTTTTCAAATTCATTCATAGATGAAAAAAGGCCAGAACAAAGAATCAGGGGAAAATAGTTTAAATAATGTTGTTGCTCCTGGTTTAGCTTTGGTGGTTGATTTGTTAGGGGGAAACAATTTGACAATATTGTAGTTCCAGGTTTAGCTACGGTTGGAAAGTCAGAAGGAAAAGTTTGAATAATCTTGTTGTTCCTGGTTTAGCTCTGGTTGTGTAAAGTCAGAAGGAAAAGTTTGAATAACCTTGTTGTTCCAGGTTTAGCTCTGGTTGTGTACAGTAATAAAGAAAAGTTTGAATACTTTTGTTGTTCCTGGTTTAGCTCTGGTTGTGTAAAGTCAGAAGGAAAAGTTTTAATAACCTTGTTGTTCCAGGTTTAACTCTGGTTGGAAAACTCTGATCAGGGGGGAAAAGTTTAAATAATCGTGATTTTCCAGGTCTAGCACTGGTAGGAAAAGCCTCAATTGTTTCCTGTTTTTGTACAATCTTCATCTACAGTAGTGAAATATTCCCTACTCTAATTAGAGCAGTAGGGGTAGGGTCTTGTACATTCTTCGGAAGGGTAGGATCCCTACTAGCTCCTCAGNTTTATAGAATAATCTGCACATATGTTTTATTAGATTTATAGCAGAATATGCACATATGTTTTATTAGATTTATAGAATAATCTGCACATATGTTTTATTTGATTTATAGCAGAATATGCACAGATGTTTTATTAGATTTATAGCAGAATCTGGACCAAGAGCATCTCAAACCTTTTAAACTTCTAGAATTACAAAACTCTTAGTAAGTTTGTGTTCCTAATGGTTGGAAATACAAAAACAGAGAGAGAAACAGAGATGACAACTTTATATATATAAGTTTTAAACCAAGCTAAGTTTCCCATTCAAACTTTGAGGCAAATCGGTCAAGTGGTTCCTGAGTTATGATTGGAAATACATACAGACATACAAACATAGGTTACTGACCTAGCTTGGGAACCCAGCTTTTTCTGGACACTAAGCTTTCTTTATAAGAGTCAACCTATTCTACTGAGACCTTTTAAAACAAACAAAGAACATTCCTGTGGTTCTACCGAGATCCCCAATAAACTTGAGGAAAATCGGTTCATACATACAAACAGACAGACAAACAGAGATTACTACTTTATATCTGGATATTGTAGGGATTGGTTGTGGTTAAACAACAGCATAGAAGTAGTGCTGAGAGTCTGGATGTCGGGTACGGGAAGTGTCCCGAGTTTGTCTGCGTGGACGGGTTGATCGTGAGCCGGGACTCCGGGGACTCCGGGGAGTGGGGGGAGGAGATGGAGGTGAGGGAGGTGAAGGGGGAGAATGTGCAGGAGAAGAGAAGGAGAGATATCAATACAGATACAGAGCATAGTTTTTCAGGGACAATGTCGACATTGAGGTAAAAATTTAATCCAATTCTTTATACAGTCGAGAAATCTCATTTTGTGGATAAAATTCAGCATTGTATTTGTGAATAACAAATCAAATGTTTTCTACTACAAAAACATGAGAGAAAATATATATATATGCAAAAAACTAACCAAAAAAATAATGTATTTCTTTTTATATGTATACAAAATAATGTTCAGTTAGCTCCAATTAAGAGCTTTTACTTATGGAAAGGCATACACTCACACCGGACGGACCAGAGTGAGCAGCATTCGGTTTCTTCTATTTGAAATCAAATGTGTATTGGTCTTTAATTCAATAATCATTTACTTTACGGATTTGTTTATTTAGCACATTCCAACAAAAAAGTATTTAATAAAAAAGGGTAACAAATTATGTTTAATGGGTCAAATTGTGATCGAAAGTCACAGCTTTCTGGAATATTGACAGAACCGTTAAATCCACGTGCACTGCAAGCGTAATTTCAAGTGATCCTCCATGCAAAGATGGTGATTTATCTGGTGGAAAATGTTCTCGTGTTTTCCGATGTAAAAATGTTTCATAAGTGATAATTTCAATATGTTTTTCTGCAGCAGAAATGCGGAAGTCACATTTGGGGAATCAGCTTCATTAACGAAAACGATACCCCTTTTTATATAAAGTCCATGAATTCCATCCGGTTTTATAGTTTTAGATCGTTCAATCCGGTTTCATAGTTTTAGATCGTAGAATCCGGTTTTATAGTTTTAGATCGTTCAATCCGGTTTTATAGTTTTAGATCGTTCAATCCGGTTTTATAGTTTTAGATCGTTCAATCCGGTTTTATAGTTTGAGATCGTTATTCAAGTCTCATCCTTTGTGGGTAACCCTGCACACTATGCATATCATATATGAGCATATTTCGTTACATAAAATCTTTGAAATTGAAAGATAAAAACGTGGGAACTATTTGGGGTTAAGAGAGATATTTTTTTTTACTAGTATAGGATGTTGTCATTGTTATGAGAAGCATGGAATGTTTCACATTTATCAAGAAATTGTATTGTTCTCAGCTGTACTAGTGACTACAATTGTTTTGATAAAACTAGCACATGGTGTTTTCACAGATTTCAATGTAGTTGAATTCACTCTTTATCTTTTATTGTGTATTACCGTTTGACCATTTGTAAACTGGGTCTGATTGATAAAGTACGCTGAAAAGTAAGCACGTTATAAAGTTTCACAAAAAACTTTTTTACAAATAAAAAAAATGATACATATAATCTGAGTAATCTTTGGTACTTACGAAATTCTAGAAAGTATTGTTTGAAATTTAAATGTTTTAAAATTCCTTATAAAGTACTATTTTTACTTTCACGGAAGACACAGAGTATAAAAGATACCAGAGATCCAGGTCCAGTATCAGACTTAATGAAGAATATAGGTCAATTGATCAAGCTTTAGTCCAGACAAAGAATAAAAAAGATTATTACTTAGACCTTAACTAACTGACCTTATTGCGTTCAAAGATTATATGAAAGAGTTTTATTTAGAATTAGACCTTGTTTAGACAAAATATAAACGTTTTCTTAGGCCTTGATCATCTATTCGACAAGACAAAGAGTATCTATTAAGTCTGGTTGAAAATAGCACTAATGAGTATCATTTACTTCTAAATCTCAAGATTAATGCTAGACAAAACTAATTAGGTCAAGATTTATTTTTGCACGAGACAACGACCATTAACGAAAACTATTTAGAAGAGTATGAAAGATATTATTTAGGTGTAAACCAGTTTTAGACGTGACAAAGAGTATGAAAGATATTATTTAGGTCCAGACCAAGCTTTAGATTAGACCCAGAGTATGAAAGAATTCCGGAAATTCCTCCTCAGCAGTCCGGAAGTCCTATCTCTATGATAATTAAGTAAATTTTTTTTTAGAAAGAAATTTCTATTTCCATCTAAATTAATTACATGTTAAATTATTCTTAAACATTTTTGTATGATTTTAAAAATTGAATTTTGGCTTAGAAGGTTTATTTTATGAAATTAAACGTTACTTATTGAGTAAAAGATCGGTTTATTTGAAGACATTATATTATTAATTTAAACATTATGTTTATTTTTAATTATTAGATATTTTGATATTTAAGTTTTCAGGTATTTAAGTGTGTATCATGTTTACAGTAAGGCCCATAAAACTGTGGAATTGGAAGACGACTTTTTGACTCAAGTAATGATTTTTGTCAGTCCAGACACAGAAATTACATCAATTACACTGAAATATTGCTCGAATGTCGTCTTCCTATTTTTAACAGTTTTCTGGTTCTCATTGTAGAATAATATTAATGTTTATTTAGAAGAAAAGAAAGTTTGTTAAGCTCCAGTATAAACCTACTTGAAGAGAAGATGAAACCCCAGGTTTATATAGTACACGCAATTTCAAGTGATCATTCATTTAACAATTTCAAACCTGATTTACAACAGTACTATGTCTTCAAACCTTTTACTAAAAAAGTTCATGATATCCGCAAGTTACTTTTGTAGGGAAATCACTAAATGATCAATTTACAATAAGAAAAACAGGATATCTCATTCATTCAATTGATCATGATAAAAGGCTTCGGGGGTTTACTTAGATCGAAAGTCACCTCGTTCTCAAAATTTATATAATTTGTTATGAATTTTAAATTCTTGATATGTAATAGAAGATTAGTTTTCTTTTAAAATCTTTTTATGAATCGCACTTTAGTTTTTAATTTCTAATTGTTTTGTCAATTTTCTGACAGACCTTGGTCTTTGAATGCAGTAATTTTTATCTTTATCTTAATCTTTATTCTTACTTCATCTCCATCTTTTTAACCTTGACATTTGAGCAGATTTCTTCATATTTATTTTCTACCTTGAAATTGTTTATCTTCTTTCTTCATCACCTTTTAATTACTTAAAGGGATGAAAGAGATTCTTCAGTTTCTAAAAGAAAAGAAAGTGTTTTCAAAACTGTTTATTTTAAAACTGATCATGTTAAAACTAGATTGGTTTTTGGTTAATTTTACCTTTTTATCGACAGATTTAATTGGAATTTAATTTACATCATTTTTTAGCTTTACGAGCATTTATTTGTAAATATATTTACTAAAAATAAAAACGACGTATATTTGTAAATATATTTACTAAAAATAAAAACGACGTATATTTGTAAATATATTTGCTAAAAATAAAAACGACGTATATTTGTAAATATATTTGCTAAAAATAAAAACGACGTATATTTGTAAATATATTTACTAAAAATAAAAACGACGTATATTTGTAAATATATTTACTAAAAATAAAAATGACGTTTATGTGTCCTGTGAGTCTTTTAGTTCTTTAGAGCAAAAATACAATAGAAATTTTCACTAACATATTTGATCGTTCTGAGCTTGACAAACATGTTTTATAAAAGGGATATTATGACCTATTTTTTTTTGAAAAGCTTAATAAATTCTTGTATACTGCTCTTATACTTTAAGAATTTTAATTTATCATAATTTTTATAATTTTAATCTTTTTGCCTGTAACTTTATCTTGATTAATCGTTCTTTTGATTATTCTTAATCTTTACATTTAATAATTTTCAGAATTCTAGATCTTGATTTTTGTATTTTAATTTAGATATTTAACTTTTTCATTTTTTTGTAGGGCGATGAGTACATGAATTATGTAAGTGACTCTAGCGTAGTGTCAGCTGAACCCTCCTTATACACAGACTCTGTACATGCAAGCCTGTACAACGGTAGTAACGTCTCCATGTACATGAAACCAGAAACCAAAGAAAATTTAGTCACTGAGTTTAGAAAACAAGGTTTGCTAGTTCTTGACAGTAATGAAACAAGATTGTGATTGAAAAACAAAATTAAATGTAAAAAAACAATTTGAAAAATAAAATATTTATTGTCGGTTTAATTGCACTAATTCTCACATTGAAGATTTAAATTAAACTATTAAAGGAATCGTTCACTTATTTGGGTAATTTCAGGGTGAACTAAACAGCCTATTCGCTGTTAATTGATAATAGTCTTACTTTTCAAAGACAACTGTGGCCGGAGAAAAAGCCGATTTTTCGTTCAGAATTTTGTTTAAAATTTGAGCGGAAAGAAACTATAATAAAACTATAATTGATGTTTTCTTCAATATGTTGTAGATCAAAATAAATTTCAAATATAAAATTAAACTGTAGTTTCTAATCGTTAATTGTAAATGTCATTATTTTTTATTCCTATTTCTAAAATAGCACTATTTTATCGCATTCAAAATTGTGTATTGCCTGTGTAAAAAGCTGAATTGGATGCGGCATGGAAAGTTGTGCACATACGGGGACAAAATCTATAAAATCTACGAGCCCAAATACGAGTAATGCTTAATTGATTGTCGTAGAGACGTCGTCTCTGTATACATATTTTACATGTTTTAATACGAACAACGTTAATTTCTTGCTAACTCAAATATCAAAAGTTTTCATATTTTAGTACATAATAACGAACACATAATGACATTAAAATATAATAATTTTAAATGATGTTGGGCTGCTGTTAATATTGAAAAAAACATCAAATAGTGTCTTTAGAGAGGGACCGGTTCTTTCAGCTCAAATTCTGAACCAAAAATTGGTTTTTTCTCCGGCCAGAGTTGTCTTTGAAAAGTAAGACTATTACCAATAAACAGCGCATAGGCTGTTTAGTTCACCCTGAAATTACCAAAGTAAGTGAACGGTTCCTTTAAATGAAGATGATTCAAGTGTGTTGAACATCCTACAGTTGAACCCAGAAAACTCTGGGAAATGAAAACTTTATTTAAGCAATCGTATGTGTTTTGATGTTGATAAAGCAACAAGTTTTAAACATATTTTGAAAAAAAATGTGAAAATGGTTTGTGTTTGTACACTACACAATTACTGTCTTGTTCTTTTGGACTATTTAAAATCATACTTGAGTTTAACAGTCGTCCTTCTTTACCACAGTAAAATGCAGCTGAATCGTTGTTGAAACATTTATAGATTTATTTGATATAATTTATATTCTTTTTCTTCTATTTTTCAAAACTTTAAGAATCTGAACCAAGATATAAGCCTGACGGGTCAATACAATCATAAAAATATAATCTGAACCAAGATATAAGCCTGACGGGTTAATACAATCATAAACAATACAACCAAGATATAAGCCTGACGGGTCAATACAATCATAAACAATACAACCAAGATATAAGCTTGACGGGTCAATACAATCATAAACAATACAACCAAGATATAAGCCTGACGGGTCAATACAATCACAATACAACCAAGATATAAGCCTGACGGGTCAATACAATCATAAACAATACAACCAAGATATAAGCCTGACGGGTCAATACAATCATAAACAATAACAATACAATCTGAACCAAGATATAAGCTTGACGGGTCAATACAATCATAAACAATACAATCTGAACCAAGATATAAGCTTGACGGGTCATAATCATGGTATTGTACAAAATATAGAACTTTGAAATTTAAAGAAAAGCATTTAATAATTACAAAACGGATTAAAATATCAAGTTATCAACTCTATATTTCAGGTTAAAACATGTAGAAATATTTTAATCAAAATTTGTACAAAACCACAAAAAAATATTATAAAAAACCTTTGAAAACTATTATCATTTGCAATGTCGTCTTCCACAAGCTAACGTTTGGTTTAAATACAATGTATATTCAATAGAACTCATTGAAATACAGGGTGTCCAACACCAAATTTGATTCCTAGCCAGATATACAGGGTGTCCCACATAATATTGGATCACAACCTGGATATACAGGGTATCCCACATAATATTGGATCAAAACCTGGATATACAGGGTGTCCCACATTACATTGGATCACTACAGAGATCGTCTTGAAAGGATGACGAATAATAATATTTTAGCAACGATATCTTTATTAATCAGTGCATTAATAGTTAGAAAGATATTTCGACCAACTATATCAAGTATCGACCAACTATATCAACACCCTGTATAAAGTATTTCATGTGATGTCTCAGATCTAATAATGCCTGGATGCACAGTACTAAGAAAATGATGTGCACAGCAACAAATTAACTGCACTAAACAGTGAGCGTCATCTTTAAAATCTCATCTTTTGTGGGTAAAACCCGGTAGACACAGCTGTGGATTAGTAAGACGACTTTTATGATTTTCCTCAGTTAACTAAACATAAAAAGATCAATATTTCAGAACTTACACAAACTTATTTTACTTGATAAGCGATTTATACGCTAGTAAATTTAAATTCTGTGTAATAACATCAAATATACTTAAAGATTGCTTAAACGTCGTCTTCCTGTACTACAGTTATATGACTCTTACTGTATAATATTAGCAGATGATAGAATTGTATTTGAAAAAGATAGAAAGTATAAGATCTACCGGGTCGCATCTCTACTATCGGAGAAAGAGGGGAGAAAGCGAAAGCGATGTAAATATAGAGAAACATGTGTAGTTGGCTCTTCTCCAGGTTCTCCCTACAGTAGGGAGTAGAACCTTCCAGATCTCATATACGCTGACCCTACTCTGGGTATAGCTTGGAGCACCAGAAGCTTCTCCTACCTTCTCTACAGATGTAAATACAACATTATCCAAGTGTAAACTCCAGTCTAAAAGAAATCATAATAAGTCTAAAATGCCAGTGAAAGTTAAAATGGATGGTTTAGCAGATTCTCTCTTTTCCCAGGACGGAGAATTATCTAAACTGTACTCCGGGATCCGGAGTAAAATCAACAAGGAGAAGCTGAACCAGTTTCCGTCCCTCACCGCCCAGCAGAGGCTGGACTGGTTGGTTGGGTCTGGAGCAGAGTTTAAAGTTGTACCTGGAGAATCTATTAAAAACCTGGAAACTGCTCTAGAATATAAAGGAAGGATAATCTTTCACTTTTTTCTTTTTTCTTCTGATTTATACTTCCATGTCTTATCTCTCCCTATTTCCTTAACTTCTTATCCTACTCCCTATACTTCTTATCCTACTCCCTTTACCTCTTATCCTACTGCCTATACTTCTTATCCTATTTCCTTAACTTCTTATCCTATTCCCTTTACCTCTTATCCTACTGCCTATACTTCTTATCCTATTTCCTATACTTCTTATCCTATTCCCTATTCTTCTTATCCTACTCCCTATACTTCTTATCCTACTCCCTTTACCTCTTATCCTACTGCCTATACTTCTTATCCTATTTCCTTAACTTCTTATCCTTCTCCCTTTACCTCTTATCTTACTGCCTATACTTCTTATCCTATTTCCTATACTTCTTATCCTACTCCCTATTCTTCTTATCCTACTCCCTATACTTCTTATCCTACTCCCTATACTTCTTCTTATCCTACTCCCTTTACCTCTTATCCTACTGCCTATACTTCTTATCCTATTTCCTATACTTCTTATCCTATTCCCTATTCTTCTTATCCTAATCCCTATACTTCTTATCCTACTCCCTCTACTTCTTATCCTACTCCATATTCTTCTTATCCTACTCTCTACTTCTTATCCTACTCCCAATACTTCTTATCCTACTCCCTCTACTTCTTATCCTACTCCCAATACTTCTTATCCTACTCCCTCAACTTCTTATCCTACTCCCTAAACTTCTTATCCTACTCCCTCTACTTCTTATCTTAATCCCTTTATTTTTATCCTACTCTCTATACTTCTTATCCTACTCCCTATTCTTCTTATCCTACTCCATATTATTCTTATCCTACTCTCTACTTCTTATCCTACTCCCAATACTTCTTATTCTACTCCCTCCACAAAAGCGTATAAGTGAAAGAACTGATGAATATAGAGAAAGGGAATGAATTCTTCAGAAAGAATAATTTTGGTGAAGCCTATCAAAATTATACAAAGGTGAGCATTTAAAGTATATAATCAAATTTTATTGAAGTTTGTGTATAGTTCCTTTAAATATTATATAGTTTGTATATAGTCCCTTTAAATATTATATAGTTTGTGTATAGTCCCTTTAAATATTATATAGTTTGTGTATAGTCCCTTGAAATATTATGTAGTTTGTATATAGTCCCTTTAAATATTATATATTTATCTAGGCTTTGCAGTACTGTCCTGTTAACCTTGATAATCCGCCAGATCCAGCTAATAAACAGTACAGTATAATCTGGGCAAACAGGTAAATCTTGTACATAGCTTTGTACATAATGTTGTACACGTACTGTACGCTTCGGTTCATACCGGGCAGAATTTTCACCAGCTAAAGGAGCAATGTTAGGCAGGCGGCCATAAACCAAAACATTTTTACCTTCCATGCCACATTTAAGCTTTTTTGTATTCCGGCAGCCATGAGTCACAAACGTACTCTCTTCCATGCCACAGCATTTGAGTCTTCTGGCAGTTATTACGTTTTTAAATGATAAATTTAGTGGAATGAAATTGTGATTTTCAAAAATTCAGCGACGTCATGCAAAAGAAATACATAAAGATCTTTATATTTAAGCTTTAAACTGAAATGATGACGATTCCTTTTCCTCTAAAATGCTAAACTTACTATCCCCAAAATAAAATTCAATCTTTCCTCTAAAATAACTTGTTTTTGAAAACATTATGAAAAATAAAAATGATGCACCATAACATGCACTCTTAAAGTTCGAAGGACGCCCATAATCGAAAATTTGCACTATTTAACGAGAAAATTGCAGAACACATTTTTTGTGGAAATCTGTATCGCTTAGGTAATGACTTTTAATATTGTGATTTTTCAAATCTTTTCTTATTCTTTAAACAACCCTAAACAATTTGTCTCGGTGCCCACAATGCGTAAAATTATGTAAAATTTTCTTTGTATAATTTAAAGTAGTTTATAAATTGAAGACACAATTGAATGATCTTTAATAAACTTCGAAAATTTCATAAAGGTAGCTTTCGCGTAATGCGGCAGAATTTTTGAAAATTACAATTTCAAATCCCTAAATTTATCATTTAAAAAAGTCATAACTTTGTACATAGCTTTGTATATAACTTTCTACATAGCTTTGTACATACATATCTTTGTACATAGCTTTGTACATAGCTTTGTACATAGCATTGCACATAGCCTTGTACGTAGCCTTGTACATAAATATAAAAAGAGGCCTATACAACTGTGTAGTATAAGGACGACATTTAAGGAGTCTGTTGCGTATTTCTGTTGCTACAGACAAAAATGGGGTTTTCAATATCTTTAACATCAACATGTTATGGGAAATGGGTACATGCATCTGTGTACAGTACAATGTTTCGTGTCTAATGGACTATATATAATCATAAAAGTCGTCTTCCTATTTTTACAGTTTTATGGGTCTAGCACTGGTTAAGAAAAATTAGTAAAATGTGTAGGATGATATGTAACATATTTTCACAATGTTCAAACACATTATTTTAAAAAGTTGTCGTTGTATTTTAGTACTTTATCTTTGTTATAACTGTTATGTTTATGTGTGTCCCAATAAACATGGGATTTAAGACGAATTCATGATCGTCTTTGTTCAGTATTAACGAATTATACAGGAATTTCTTATTACACTAAGTACAACAGTCAAAATATAAACAAACAAAGACGATATAATAATCTTAGAGTCATCGAATTCCCGTGTATTTTGGGACACTCTGTATAATTGTACACTTGTACAGGAGTGCAGCTCTAGATGGCGCAGGATTGTACGCGGCAACTATACATGATATCGATATGGCTCTCAAGGTAAACTCTAATTTGTAATTTATTTATTAATCTCTACGTACAACTTGGAACAAAAAAAAAATATATGTAATTCGCATGAACAATGTCTATAAATTGTATTATTGTCATGTCGCACACCATTGACAAAGTACAACACTGCATCGATAAACACACTTAAATTTTTAAAAATTCCAAGCTTTGGTAAAAATAAATAGTTTTTCTTCAAAATATTTAATAAATAAAGAAGAAAAATTATTCGAGCTATGGTATTTTAATTTAGCTTTTTCTGATAAACTTTTGCAATTTCCACTTCTGCAAATTTGTTCACGAAAAAAGTTATTTTTTTTTTTCTTCAAAGATGTAAACAAAGAAAAATTATTAAAGCTATGGTATTTTTAATTTGCTTTCAAGGATAACATTTTACAATTTTCTCTTTTTCACATTTTTTTTAAAGAACACTAAAAATATTTTTTTTATATATAAAATTGTTAAATATCTACCAAATAAAAAAAGAAGTGTAAAGACTCTTTATTTCCTAGATATATATATCTAGATTTTATACTTATACTTCCATATTTATTTAGAGTGTGTATAGCTTTAATTGTAAAAGTTTTTTTCTTCAAAATTAAAAGAAAGTCTGTGCGTAAACATACGTTTTTACTCATTTGGATACAATCGCTCATTTAAAGCCCAATCGCGCTATTTGTAAGAATGGCTTATATTAACATTTATTTATTTTTAAATTTTAGTTTTTCAAAATATGTATATATAAAATAGTTGATGGTCGAAGTAATTAAACAGTGTGCTCACACGTCTGCACACACCCTGTCACAGTTCTTAATGTACTTCTTCATTTTCTCCACTATACTCTTGTTTTCCAATGTTTTTATCCTGTGCTTTAATTTTCCATCATGTTCTTGGTTAAACACTAATTTTTTGCTTTAGTTTGGTTATCCTCGTGAGCTCTGGTACAAGATCTACAAAAGGAAGGGGCACGCCCTCATCAAGATGAAGCAGTACCTGGAGGCCAGGGAGGCGCTGGAGGTCAGCCTCAAGAACATCGGGAGGTCGGATATTAAGAAGGAAAAGGATAGAGATAATTATAGAATGAGGGTAAGTTCTATGTTTTTTTTTGGTGAAGGATCAAATCCCAGAACTAAACCAAAACTTTAAATATTCAATACAAGGTTTTGATTCAAGGTTACTTTTCCCCTTTCTTACTTTCTTACTTTCTTACTTTCTTACTTTCTTACTTTCTTACTTTCTTACTCCAGAATCTAAATAACTTTAAGGTTCGGCTTGCTTTCTAAATTATCATTCAAATTAAAATTTAAAACATAGTTTTTGTATTTTTGACTTTTTTTAACAAATTGACTGGTTTAAAAGATTTTTGACCAACATATTTTTTTTTTGTAAACATAAGCATTAATAATTCAGACACCTCAAAAATTGAAATAAATGTGCTTTTGCGTTGTTAGGGGATACATTTATTTTTTAACTATTCTTTTCCAGCAAACTATTCTTTTATGCATTACTGGGAAATATAACAATAAAGCGGTGTTGTTATTCATGAATTAAAAAGAATTATAAAATTTGGATGACTTGCTTCTCTCTGAGTCTGTATATTATAAATTATAAATCAATGAAAAAATAAAATTAACAATAAGGCAAACATCATCAACATCATCAACATTATCAACAATATCAACATTATCAACATTATCAACATTATCAACATTATCAACATTATCAACATCAAAAAGGCACATTTCTTATTCTTAGCCTGGGCAGCACTGCTTGTGTTTAAATTCATCACAGTAGCTGCAACTCAGTACATTAATTTATTAGAGTTCCTGATTCCGTTCCTTAATCCACAGATTAGATATATACAGACTGCTAATCCTTAATCCAATCCACAGATTAGATATATACAGACTGCTAATAATTAATCCAATCCACAGACTAGATATATACAGACTGCTAATCCTTAATCCAATTCACAGACTAGATATATACAGACTGCTAATCCTTAATCCAATTATGGAACTTGTTGGTCGTGTACTCTAGTGGTAAACGATGCAACTTGTTGGTCGTGTACTCTAGTGGTAAACGATGAAACTTGTAGAAATATCGAAGATTCTAGTCTTTAATATATCTTTGTACTCTATTATCTCTGGTCCATACTAAACTACACACAAAAATGAGACAGTAAAGAAGACTCATGAAATATGACAATCCCAATTAAGTCTTTTGCTTTGAATATAGTTTTTAACGGTTTATTTAATGGTTTAGCAAAGAAGAAAACCAGTTTACAGTTGTAGAGAACCATAAATATAAAGAAACAGACAGAACATATAAATTATGTACACTGTACAGTCATCTCTGAAGTCTTATCTTTTGTGGGTATTCCTGTATGTCGACAAATTTACTCAAATTTTTCTTGAAATTTATTAAAATTTTAAACAAAATCTTTTGTGAAGCAAAATGATTAAAAGTTACAATAATTTATCTAAATAGTTAATTTAATATTAAATTAATTGAAATAAATGCAAACAAAAATCTGTTTAAACCATTATTTTTCTTGAAAATATAATGTTTCTGTAAGAGGGGGAAATGCTTAAAGAAAAATATTTTATTATCAATTTTGTCTCTTTTGTAGAAAATATAAAAAGAAAAGAACTTTATATTACGGAAAGATACTTTTTCACTTTTTCAAAATAACACACGAAAAATCTTAAAGATAAAGATTTCTGTTTTATACTAGGCAAAGAAATTTTGGCCGCTAGGTGAAATCCCTGAAATATCGAGAGCAGAGACACCTAGCAGTCAAATAATTGTCGTTTAAAGTACATTGTATATAAAACAAATATTATGAAAGATTATTCATACGAATGCATTGAATTGAATTCTACATTTGAAAACTTAATTTTTAATTTAATTAAATTATTTACGATCTGAGTAGAATAGTGCGCACCTCTGTAAATTTATATGGACACTACACTCTTGGTTATAAAACGTTTTTAACCATGTTCTCCTTATATGTAGATGCAACAGATAAAAGTAAGATTAGAGTAGCGATTAATATCGAATTCAATTCGTTATCGGACAACACCCCCTTTTTATTTTTCGCGAACACTCCCTTTAAACTATTAAAATATGACAATTCCAAGATTTAATTAAGTCTTCTGTCTAGAATATAGTTACAGGGAATAGAATTATGCATACAAGGAAATTCAGCACAGTCGTCTCCAATGTCTCATCCTTTGTGTGTAATCCCTAGATAAATTTATCTAGGGTGTAATCCTTTACAAAACTGGGTAGTACACAACATGAATCTAGTGCTAACCTATGTATTTAGGTTAGAAAGCAGATGACAGTGTTTAATGTAACCAAAACGTTGTACAACACGGAGTTAAATGAACGCAGTGATTCAGTTCTAGCCGCAGGGAAACCAGAAGATAGAGGTAAATCACATTATTTTTCGTAGCATACAACCAGTCCGATCTTACCCGTCACCCGACCCCATCTAGGGTTGTTAATCGTATTGGTTCTTTTTTTGTTTCTTGTTTTTGAATATATTTCTCTCAAGTTCATAGTATAGTTTATGCAAAAAAACGAACCAAAACGATTACCAACACAAGTCCCCATGAGAGAGACTTAAACAACAGCTTACACATGCATGACAACAGAACCGGTCCGACCTTTACCATACCTTACACGTGACAACAGAACCGGTCCGACCTTTACCGTACCTTACACATGACAACAGAACCAGTCCGACCTTTACATATCTTACACGTGACAACAGAACCGATCTGACCTTTACCATACCTTACACGTGACAACAGAACCAGTCCGACCTTTACCATATCTTACACGTGACAACAGAACCGGTCCGACCGTTACCATACCTTACACGTGACAACAGAACCAGTCCGACCTTTACCATACCTTACACATGACAACAGAATCAGGCTGACCTTTACCATACCTTACACATGACAACAGAACCAGTCCGACCTTTACCATACCTTACACATGACAACAGAACCAGTCTGACCTTTACCATACCTTACATGTGACAACTCATACTTATGACCTTATTTTCATGAAAAGGTTATATGTGTGTATTAAATTAATGCCAGTTTTTACTTATATGAATTTATAGTGACCCTCAATGTAGTTTTAATTGACTCTTCATTTAAAAAGTAGTATTTCCGATTCCCAAAAGGTTCCCTTCAATCCTATGCATTACCTTTAACTACGAGGCAGCTTTTTAGTTTTCTAATTTGAAAACTGTATAAATTTTGACAATATCCTTCCTTAGGTAAACCACAATTTTCCACAAATGAAAAGGATCAATTTTCATCTATAAAAATTAAAATTTCTCATTCATGCATAATTGAACAGACAAGGTAAACAGGAACTGCTTTGAATCCTGTCAATCTATATTTGGAGGGTCACTCAAAATTAAGTTAACAGTCCCTTCAAATTCTCTAATATTTAGGACTGACAAGTAAGCTGAAAATTTGCCAGGACGGTGCAAGGACAAAACTACAGGCTGAGGAGGACGTGTTACAGGAGGACGTTGTCCTCGCTCTCGACCCGTATGTAGCAGTTGTCAACGTGTCTGGAGGCCGAGCTGGGGGCAAGGTTTGCCCCCACACCCTTGAGAAAATGTTCCATCCAATCCCGTGCCGGTTTGGGAGTGAGGAAACCTTCAGCTCGGAAAAGTATAGAGACGAGGCGAGTGAATCGTATCATCAATACGAGTGGAGAATACTCTCAACTCTGAGCAAGGTCGGATTGCTGGAGAAGGGTCGCCTGGCATTGAGAATGATAACAATGATTAAACCTGGAGATCTGAAGAAGGTTTATGATCTTGTGCAGAAGAAAAAGAAGGTGGAGGAGGTGGAGGAAGGTTTAAGAACTCCTGTTAAGGCGTTTGATCTTCCAGTAGAGAATGTAAGGTAAAAACTCAAACAATTTTTAATCAATGAGTACCGTACAATGAGACCTATCAAACTATCCAATATAAGGAGACGATATTTTAACAAGCTTATGTTGTTATTAAGCAAATGGTTTGACTGGTAGTTGACAATCAGCTTAATACGTAATATGGGTCTGTTTACACTGCACAATTGCTATGTTTCATGTTCATTGGACTATCTTTGAATAATATACTGATTCTAACAGCCGTCTTAGTATTACATACTTTTATGGGATCCACTGTGCACAAATTTAAATGCACGATTTATTCAAGAATCGTGTTTATTTCGACTAAATCAAATATTCTAAAAATATATTCCGATTTCAATACGCATGACGAAAACCCCTATTTTAGATTATAAAGAAAAGGCCAAAAAACTCGATAATCGCTTTATTAAGATAAAAGTTTTAAGTCCTAGCTGTCCCAGAATTATTTAGAGAATTAAGTTTATAGCTGAAATTATTTTTGAGAGAAACATTGGTTCTCTAGAATATTTCTTTTTTAAATTTTATTTCATTAAAGAACTTTATTCTGATAATTTGTTCTGATTACTTTTTCATGGAAAATAGGATGATGAGTTTTTCATAGAATAGTTTGTCTGGATAAAAAATAAATTAAAATGTTGAAAATTAAATTAAAGACATTCTTTATCTCATATAATTAAATCATATGATGTGAAGGCTTTTTGATGCAGTTTGCTGTGTTTTATGATGTCAATATATTTAATAAATTTGTTTTGTTGCTACATCTGAATCAGATAGTACTTTCCACAGAGTAAAGAATATTATATAAAGTGAAAGATAGTTTTTTGTTTCGTTTTTAGAAACGATCGTTTCGTTTTCGGAAAAAAACGATCGTTTTTAAAAACGACCCACTCGTTTTGAACTTTTAGAAAACGAATAGCGATCGTTTTTGAAAAAACGACCGTTTTTGAAAAAATATTTTATTGACAATTATGTTAACGATCGTTAACGAAGGGTCGTCGTTAACGATCGTTAACGAAGTCGTCGTTAACGATCGTTAACGAAGGGTTGTCGTTAACGATCGTTAACAAAACGACGAACTTTATCAAAATGGTCATTTTGGAAAAAAAATTACATGCAACTTTATTGAATGTCGTCTTACATGAAGTTTAACGGTTGTGGGGGAGTTAAAACTCCTTGATATTTTCTTAAAAACTACTTAATGATAAGTACAGATGCCCTTCAGGTCGGCTTCCTCTCTTGGTTAACGATCGTTAACAAAAAGGGTCGTCGTTAACGATCGTTAATGAAGGGTTGTCGTTAACGAAGGGTCGTCGTTAACGATCGTTAACGAAACGACGAATTTTATAAAAACGATCGTTTTTAAAAACGATAGTTTTAACAACGACCATTTTTAAAAAACGAGCTTTTTAAAAAACGATCGTTTTTAAAAACGATCGTTTCGTTTTCGATTTTTCGACGTCGTTTTCATAACGAAATGATCGTTTTTCTGAAAAATGAAAACGTTAACATCCCTAAGTACAAGTAGGACTGGGCAAAGCTCTGTTAACGAAGCGAAGATTTTGGAAAATTATCGGAGCCCGTTAACGAACGGCAAAAACTTTTAATTTTAAAATGGTTCACTAGGGGTTTTTAGAATGGTTGAAACAAAAACGGGTTTTAAATAAAAAATGGCTATTCGAAAAATGGCTTTCAAATATTTTTGCCCCCGGAATAATAAAATAGTTTTAAAGTTTTTCATTTAAATTAACGATTTTTAAGTTTTTGAGTTTAATAAAAAATTATTTTAATTCACCTTCACGTTTTAAGGTCAATTTTATAACTTTATTAATAGAACTTGTTACAAATATGTCCAGGGATAAAACTTCTTTTCAGACTTAATTAAAGGAACTGAAGAACTCATATTTCAGAAAACTTTAATCTTTTCTGTTTATAATATTCTCTATGCTTTGGTATTTTCTCTTTATATCAAATTTAGCCTGATTTACAACGATGCCCTTTCCATGACTGATCATAGATTGATGAAATAACCATGTTTTCTAGCAAACGATTGACTAGTTTAAATTTTCTAGCAAACTATTGACAAGTTTCTATTTTCTAGCAAACTATTGACTGGTTTCAATTTTCTAGGAAACTATTGACTGGTTTAAATTTTCTAGCCGACTATTGACTGGTTTCAATTTTCTAGCTAACTATTGACTAGTTTCAATTTTTCGAGCCAACTATTGACTGGTTTAAATTTTCTAGCCGACTATTGACTGGTTTCAATTTTCTAGCCAACTATTGACTGGTTTCAATTTTCTAGCAAACTATTGATTAGTTTCAATTTTCTAGCCAACTATTGACTGGTTTCAATTTTCAAGCAAACTATTGACTAGTTTCAATTTTCTAGCAAACTATTGACTAGTTTCAATTTTCTAGCCAACTATTGACTGGTTTCAATTTTCTAGCAAACTATTGATTAGTTTCAATTTTTTAGCCAACTATTGACTAGTTTCAATTTTCTGTTTAATAAAAATTCATGCAGAAAGTGTCGAAATTTAACACAATTCAATATAAAAAACGACGATATCTTTCGTGTTTATTCAGAAAAAGATTTAAAGAGTTTTGTTGTGAATCAGAGGTTTACACTAGAAATCTCAAATACAGTCCAGTAAACAAGAATTAAGAAACCGCATGGGGTGACCTAAAAGCCTAGACAAGTCGTCCTAATTTATTTCCAAAATCTCATTAAATTCCTCTATTTTAAATTAAAACCCTGTTTTGCCGTGATTCAAGTAAATTGAGTGAATTTTTATTCCGTTTATCGCTTTTGTTTAATAAAGAGTCGAAATAAAATCTATTTTATGATTATTAAATATATTCTCATCGAAATGCCAGGAATTTTAATTTAAGACAGGACAAAATAATTCATGGCATTATAATTCATTAAAAAAAATATATAAAAACTGTAATTTTTCCAGTGGTGAAGAATCATTGTTGTGCTCCGTGTTGGCTCTCTACCTGACCAGATGCTTGAGTGTATCCGGATACCTAGATCCTGCCTCCTCCAGGAGCAACCAGGAGTTAGAGTTATTTCATCTTCTTTATCTAGCAGTTCTTATTGCTCTCCGCTATACCAGGTTACAAACAAGTTTTTTTGTTCGCCATTTTTCTGCTAAAAACAAAAAAAACTTTTTTTTGTCACCGTGATTCACTTTAACTTTCGTGGAACTTATTAGATCAACAGGAATGTTCTTAGTCTGGGTTTAATACTATAGTTGAGTTTAAAGAGAAAGTTTAGTTTGCAAAAAAATAAATTATAAATATCTTTTGTCTTTTTAAATATCTTATCAATTAGTCTTGGACCCCTAAACTTGAACTTTGATAATTTGGGAATTAGTAGAACAAGTGGAATATTCTTCGTTTACTTAAAATTTTCAAACTTGATTGAGTTGACTTTAAGAGAAGGTTTTGTTGAGTTCCCACGCTAGTCCATGACAAAATATTTGTTTAATTAATTTAATTAATTTCTCTTTTATATTGAAAAATATGTACCTTACATAGTTTTACTGTAGTTCGGTTCATTAAAACTATTTAATTAAATATTAGAATTTAAAGTTAATTTTCTTAGTTATACTCCTTCACTTTTATTCTTTAGAATAATATCTTTATTCGTTCTTCTCTTGTTACAATTATCATCCTTTATGTCACAACTTCTACAGATAATTCAGTGGGAACAATAAGATGTTGAATGAATGTCTACTTTTATCTTTTTTAATTTAAGCACTGTAGTTTTCAATATGATTTTTTCAATTTTTTTAGAGATTCGAACTTTTGTGCTGATATTGTTAATCTTAAACGATTGATATATCTGGTATGGGCACTTTTAAATTTGGGCATTAATGCTTGATTTCTCAATCAAAGTTATTACTGCAGATAGGGCTGGGCTTCGTTCCTTGGGAACGATCGTTCTTTTACGGAAACGAACGGAACAAAACAAACGATTTAAAAAAAAAGTAGGCACACACTCACCCCTACCTGTAGTCCGTCACAGAATATCAAAAAGGACTTAAATTAACCCTATCTCTGCTGGGGTACTTGAAAACCAGGATATGATGGGGGGGGGCAATTTCCCCCCCCCCCCTCTAAATCCCATGTTTGATGTCCAAATATGACAAATGATACATCATTAGAAAGCTCTTTTGCCCTACTTTTAGAATCTGCAAAAAAAATTTGAAAATTTGCAAAAAATGAATTTTTTATCGCAAAATCCAGATATAAAGTAAAAATGTTTGCAAAAAAAAATTGTCCAAAAAATGAAAAAATTATACATTTTTGAAAAGCCCTTGATCATGCCATTTCAAATATGCAAAATTTTTTGCAAAATTTTAAATAACCTGATTTTTAATCAAGAAAAACTAAAAATTTGGAAATTTCCTTTGACAGGTTGTTTGCAAAAAATTTGCATTTTTTTCGCAAAACTTGTGCAGTTCGTTTCCTTATGTCAAAGGCTTTCCAAAAAGCTAAATTTTATCAAAATCTGACAAGTGGAAGTGGGTCAAAACAAAGATTTAGTTTGTTACAGGAAAAAACAGTCATTCAGGCAGTGTGTCTGAGGACTCAGGCAGTTAGTATTAAAGCCTGGTTTTGGGCCTAAAAGGAGGGCTTTGGGTATGTAAGAAAAGTCAGAAAATTTCAACAGCCTCAGACTAACACTTTTTGAGTTATGTAAAAAAAAACTACGGGGGGGGGGGTCAAATTGACCAGCAGGAATAGGGTTAATCTGCAGATCTGCATAAGTTGGAGATGCTTGAACCTGAGATTCATAGTTTTAGAAATAATCTAGTTGAAAATTACTAAACCCATAGCGAGGAGCGACATGTCATAATAACAAGAATGTTTTCATACTCTACACAAATTGCTGTAACTTAATTAATATAAGTTATTTTTTTAATTAATTATTTTTTAATGACCATTTTATAGGAGTAGGACTGATTTGACTTGAAAAATACAAATGTTCATTAATAGTTTTTTCCGTGTTCGTATTTTTTTCAAAATTAACGGATTTAGCGGTTTCTGAACGGAATCTTCCGTAATTTTTTAAAAACACTTTCCATTGGTTAACGGAACGTTGCAATGTCCGGACCTATGCCATACTAGCCTAACCCTTTCCCTAAAAACCATTCCGTAAACACTAATTTGATTTTAATTTACAAATATTCAGGCCTATTGAAATTCTGGATGTTCCAAAACAGAAGGTTGGAATACTAGATACTGAGATAGTGAGAGATGTTTGTGGATTCGGTATCTATCCTGATATACATCAGATACAGCAGTCAGCTACAGGTTGGTTTATAGGATACAGTAGTCAGCTACAGGTTGGTGAATAGGAAACAGCAGTCAGCTACAGGTTGGTTTATAGGATACAGCAGTCAGCTACAGGTTGGTGTATAGGATACAGCAGTCAGCTACAGGTTGGTTTATAGGATACACAGCAGTAAGCTACAGGTTGGTGTATAGGATACATAGCAGTCAGCTACAGGTTGGTGTATAGGATACACAGCAGACAGCTACAGGTTGGAGTACAAGATACAGCAGACAACTACAGATTGGTGTATAGAATACAGCAGACAGCTAAAGGTTGGTGTATAGGATACAACAGACAGCTACAAGTTGGTGTATAGAATACAGCAGACAGCTAGCTACAGGTTGGTGTATAGGATACAGCAGACAGCTACAGGTTGGTGTATAGGATACAGCAGATAGCTACAGGTTGGTGTATAGGATACAGCAGACAGCTACAGATTGGTGTATATGATACAGGAAACAGCTGTAAGGTTGGTGTATAGGATACAACAGACAGCTACAGGTTGGTGCATATGATTCTTAGATAGTACAGGGTGGTCAACCAAACATAGGAATCATGTTTCAACTTTTTTGATCGTTCTTTAAAAATCAAGTTTACATAATGATGTTAATATTTGACTTCAAGCCCTAAGTTTTGGGACACATTTTGTAAAGCCTTTGAGACCTTTCATTTTTTTGCGAGATTTTTGGACACCCTGTATATAGCTACATATATATATATATATATATATGCATTTTTCTCATCAAAGAGGCTGTTTATGCAGGATATTTTACATATATTTGAAATATGTTTTAACTGTATATTTCTCATACAAGAAGTAAATTCTAAATGTGAATATAAAATAAAGAATTCAGTTGTAAAAATGAAATACATTTAAATATTTAAGCCAGTTTTAGAAAGCATTATATTTGGTTAGTTTATATGGCTACAAATGAGACAAATGTCGTCGGAAATATTAAAATTATTAATTTTTATAATATTTAGGTGGAAACTGTGACGTCATTCGTTGGTTTGTTGCAAAGAAACTGGTTCTATCTTCCTTTAGGAAGATAGAAAAAGGATCTTCTATAATTCTCTTCTCTGGTCCTGGTTTGTCGGAGCCGGAGAACAAGGGACCCAACGATATGATCACATTCAGGTTCGTAAACATTCCCTTTTAGATTAATGTTCTGGTTTCTTACAGATGATGTTATTAAAGCTCGTTTTTAAAGTCTCATTGTTTGTTGGTTATATCCCTGTGTATAAAGTTTGGGATTTCAACGCTCGGCTGTTCATGTATATATGCAGCTTATTATGGACATAACAGGTTGGTCATTTCATTTTTTCGTAGATAGTTTTTTGAATTCAGGTAGATGTTTTATTAAAATTTGTTCGAGAGTTCATATGAAACTGGTAAAGGTATATCAAAAATTCTATGAAACATGCATATTTAATAATTCAGATAAATTAAATTAAAAGTAAAAAATTACAAAAAATGAATTATAGCCAACAAATTATTTTAAAAGTAATTTTTCATTTCTTTGCCAATTTTTGTTTTATTGGTTTTCGAAACTGAATTTTGCATTATTAAATTTTCTAGTTCTCATATCTTTGCAACCTGATTATGTAAACCTTTGATATCTCAAACTTAATCTGACTAATCTGAAATATCAATGGTCAATAACAAATTAGATACAAGGGATTTAAAAATCAGAGCTTGTGGCAATAACTCCGTTCCGGTCCAAGAAAATGGGGTGTGGTGTGGCGCGACATTTTTGATTTTCTATTTTCCGGTTACTTTTCTAGTTTCCGGTTACTTTTCTAGTTTCTGGTTACTTTTCTAGTTTCCGGTTACTTTTCTAGTTTCCGGTTACTTTTCTAGTTTCTGGTTACTTTTCTAGTTGCCGGTTACTTTTCTAGTTTCCGGTTACTTTTCTAGTTTCCATTTACTTTTCAAGTTGCCTGTTACTTTTTGAAATAAATATATATAATATCTATTCAAGAGAAGTCGCTTATTTTGCAGTAAATGTTGAATGACTGCTAAAGAAGCGGATATTTTTTCATTTCGAATATTAGAAATTGTCCTTACTGCCCCTTTTGTTTAGGTGTGGTAACGAATTGTGCACCAACTCCTTCCCCTTAAAGGAAAACACGAAGGAGAAGATAATCAGCTGCCCCCTGGAGGACTGCCGCCTCAAGACCAATATCTGGGAGAGGCTGAGGTTAATCCAGAAGCTGAAGAAAGATTTTGCATCAGCTAAGGAAGAGTTGGAGAGGAATGAGGTGACTCTAGCAAGAGATATACTTAAGGATACCATAGAAGAGTGGGATAGAATAATAATTAGGTAAAGTTACTAATATTTCATTTTTTAAATAAAATTTTCAACAATTTTATATAATGCATTTTTCAGTTATACAACGTTACACTTTTTATAAGTTGAACTTTGAAATAGAAATCCTTTCGTTAAGATATTCAATCAAATCACTATTAGTTTTTCAAACGTTAGACTTACAAACTCCCCTTGGAAACAAAACATTTCTTCACGTTATGGTCAAAAAAAGTGTAGATATTAGAAAAATAACGTTTCATTTCCACAAAACGCTAACGTTGGGGGTATGTTCCTCTAACGTTAACGTTAGGTATGAGATCCTACAAAGTTAACATTTAACGTTCACGTTATATAGAATATATCCAAACGTTACACATTACTGTAACGTAACGTACAAAAACGTACATTTTACGTTACGTTATACACTATCGTTGACATCTCTAACATATACTACACATATACTACATATACTACACATATACTACATATACTACACATATACTACATATCTCACACATATACTACATATACTACACATATACTACATATACTACACATATACTACATATACTACATATCTCACACATATCTTACACATATCTTACACATATCTTACACATATCTTACACTAATTGTTGCTATTTATTTCACTTCCAATCATTTTAGCTTTAACCGTTGCTCTGCAAGCTGCCAATGTTCTTTGAAAATTATATTTAAAGTATTATTCTATTCAAAGGAATTAAGTCTTTGCCACAAACTCGAATTTTTTAATCCATGTATTACTCCTCCCCAATTTCGTGAACCTTAGAAATTTTAAACTATATATTCGGTAAAATTAAATATCAAAGGTTTACATCATCAGGTAGCAATTAGATTAAGGATTTGATTTTCAATTAATTTTTTTAACATTGCTGCTGCATTCGATACAAAATTCACCTGGAAGAGACTTAATTCCATTTCACCCTCCATTTAAGTAGATACATGCACGATTTAGAATAATGACGAAATAAAACCGACGATATCTTCCTTGTTGTATACAGTTGAGATATATATTATACAGTTGAGATATATATTATACAGTTGAGATATATATTATACAGTTGAGATATATATTATACAGTTGATATATATTATACAGTTGAGATATATATTATACAGTTGAGATATATATCATATACAGTCCCTTTAAATCATGTTTAACAACATCTTTATGTTAAGGCCGTACAAGGAGGTGACCCAGCTGGAGAAGGTGTACGTGAAGAGTCTGCTCTGTGATATCGGGGACCATGAGAGGAACCTTGTGGAGGGAAACCAGATGGGGCAAATTATAAATATGAAGAAGAAACCGAATATTATGCCGGAAACTGAGCCAGCTGAACAGGACACTTCTCTTGTCAAAGTTTAGAAACAAATAAATTAATTGAGTAATAAAAAAAAATTTGATTGTATTTTCCTAGTCTGAAGGAATTGCACATATGATACAAACAGAATTCAGTCCTTGCCAAAATCTTAAATTTTCGAATCTTTATATCATTGCAACCTGATAGTGTTAATCTTTGATATTTCAAGTTTAGATTATTTGAACTAATAGAAATCATGTAGTTTGAAATATCCAAGGACTCCGACATTTGGTTGTAAAGATAAAGGGAGTAGGCTGCTATGAAATACTTTTAAAACCAGAAAACAAAGGAATATGTAGACGACATTATAGCCATACTTAAGTTTATTTGATTATAAAAAGCAAATAGTTTTACTATGAAACTTATTAAATCAGTTTGGTGAAACAGGTCTACCTACACTGCACTATTGCTTTGTCTCGCTCCATCGACTTTTTGAAGTTAACTTGATTCTAACAGAAGTCTTCTTATTTCAGAGTTTTCTGGTTATTAGAAGTTTATAGTAAATAGTCAATTAAACTAACTTTTAAAATAAAAAAGAATAATAAAGTATTTATAAAACAGGGGGAGGGGCGATTAAAATTTACCCCCCCCCCCTAGTGTTTCTATATTATAAATATATGAATATATCTTTCTTTCTTTTTTTATTCACAAAAATGATTATTCTGTCTAAGATTCCTGTCAAAGAAGTCTAGAGCACTTTCTTAGATTTTCCAATATTAAGAAAAATAACAAGTTATATATTTTATAATTATACGATCTAGAAAATGTTATAAAACTTTAACTTAGAAGAATTAAAACTTTAGAAAACTTAACAAATAACAATTGTAAAATAAAACAATATTAAAGGGACTGTAAACAATATTAAAGGGACTGTAAACAATATTAAAGGGACTGTAAACAATATTCCAAGTGACCCTCCAATTAAAGAGCATGCCATTCACAAAGATACACTTCACACCTTTATCAGAGAAAGAATCGTTATTTTGCTTTCTTTTTCATAAATCCGCACAAGACATACAGAGAAAATAAGATCGAACATAATCTTTTTTTAGAAAGAAAAACAAAACTATCTTTGTTTTTTGCTCTAATGAAGGAGTACCGCTGTGAATCAGACACGCCCCCTTTTTTAATAGAGCCTCACATGTCTTTTATTTTGCCCCTTTGTATAACAATTATCTAACTATACAGTAATATTCATGATATCTATAAAAATAATGGCCTTTCTATTTAAATCCGAAACTAGACTGGGAGCCATTGGGCCTGGCAGGACTTTTAGGTTCAGTAAATATATCCGGGAAACCTTGCTGTTGTGTTTGTTGTGACGGTTGCTGTTGTTGTTGTTGTTGTTGTGCTTGATTTTCATTTTTGTCTTCCTCATCAAAATCGTAATGAATTGTGCTGTACCGATCATAATCATATTCATATTGAGGTTTACCGGAAGGTGGAGGGCTGGGAGGCGGCGGAGGGTTTCCTTGGGCGGAGAATAAATCTGGAAAATCTGTAGTAAAACCTGTGTTGCGTTCTCCCTCTTCTACCTGGGACCTGGAGTTGGAATCACCAAAATCTACCGTATATTCGTCCTGACTTCCGCCATTACTCTGCCTTGATGTATCCTGGAATATATCTCCGCCAAATCCTTGATTCTCCGGTCTGCTTCCGCCCTGGAAATATCCAGAGCCACCCTCTCTTTGCTGTCTCGTGTCAAAGTTTTGATATCCTCCATTCTCTGCTTCAGGATTGTATCCATATGCTTGATTTCCATTTTCTCCTTCATTATAACCATGACTATCTTGTTGATATCCACTCTGGTCATCATGATATTCGTTCTCTCCTTCATGATATCCACCCTCTCCTCCGTGGTATCCTTCCCCTTCAGAACTATATCCTTCATCTTCTGCAAGATATCCTTGTACTCCTCCATTATTTCCCTCTCCATTATACTCCCCAGAACCTCCATTGTGGACATTTCCACCATCAGCGCTTCCAAATCCGCCTTCGTTAAAACCGAAGCCATCTCCAGCTCCATTAAATTCGTTTCCAGCTCCATTATATCCCTGTATATCTCCACTATGACCACCTTTACCTCCATTATATCCCTCTCCGCCTCCATTGTATCCTTCTCCGCCTCCATTGTATCCCTCTGCTTCTCCATAATATCCCTTTCCGCCTTCGTTATACCCGTCTCCGCCTCCATATCCATTGCCACCTCCAGTATACCCGTCTCCGTGTTCATTATACCCGTCTCCGCCTCCATTATATCCCTCTCCGTCTCCACCATACCCGTCACCGCCTCCATTATATCCCTCTTCGTCTCCAATATGTCCCGCTCTACCTCCATTGTGTCCCTTTCCGGCTCCATTATATCCCGCTCTACCTCCATTATATCTGTGAGTTCCATCCCGCTCTGCATTGAAAGGTTGGAATGGATCTTGTGAATCCTTGAAACCAAAACCGTCATCGTAGTCATCAAATCCATTATTGTTGTATCTAAACATAAGCAAATCCATTATTGTTGTATCTAAACATAAACAAATACATAACAGAAAGGAAGCTTTAATATTTCAAACTAAGAATATTTAATCTAACGGAATTCAAAGTTTGAAATATCTATGACACTGGGTTGCAAAGATATAGGGACAAGAAAATAGTTTGAATAAATTCCTGTAAAAACAAATTTGTCTTTTAAAATAAAACTGAGAATATTGATATTATTTGTATCTTCATCAATTGTATCTATTCAACTTTAAGATTATTTTTAAGATTTAATTTTTTAAAATCTCTAAGAAATCTTAGAAGCAGAAGTTTTTTTCTCAGATTATGATTAGAAACTGTCATCAGAGCTCTAACCTTTATAGGACTGAAAACTCAAAAGTTCCAATAATGAATTTGCAAAAAAATGTCAAATAATATCACGAGAAACAAGTATTTAAATCATAAAGCTAACTATTATTATTATTTGAGCAATCATTAATTTTTTAGTACATTTTAAAAATAATAGCGATAGTGGATATATTTAACACACCTTCTGCAAATCATTTATTTTTAAAACGTATTCAAAGGATTACTGAAAACATATGTTTGCAGAAAAAAGATAAAAATGTTTAGACATTTTTTGCAAGACAATATAATTTATATTTTAAACTTATTTTGAACTTTGTTAGAAGTAAAACTTATTTTATCTAATTTTCAGAGAATTTTTACAGTTTTATGGTTCCTGGAACAATGAATAACGAATAAGTTTCCAAACTAAAAAGTTAGATATTTTCAATGCAAGATCACTTTTTTTTGAATATTCAAAAATCATTTTCGTAGAGTTATAAAGAAACTACTTCTGATTTTCTCATACCTATATCAGACACCTAGCTTTGAAACTTTGAATTTTGTTAGATCAAATAGCCTAAAAGAAGAACAACGAGTGGACAGAGCCAAAAGCCAATATTGTCTGAATTGTATAAAAATACAAAAAGAAAATCTATAGAAATAAATTTACCTTGGATCGTTTTCTATATTCTGTTCTACAGCTGCCTCAGCAGCAACCTCTATCCCATCAACATCTTCAGGACCAGACCCACCCTTGAGCACATTCCGTTCTACCAGGTTCTCATAGTACTCCGGAGCTAATCCTTCGTACACAGCCGGCTTACCGGAGCCGTAAACCGGAGTTTTGGATCTCTTATTCTTGTATTTAAATCCGTCCTGAGAAAACGAGTTTCGAGCAGGTTCGAAGCTTGCAAGGTTTAGAGAACTGGGTTCGGGAATGTTGAATCCGAGAGATTTTACTCCACGTCGGCCAAGATCTGGATCGTTGTAGTTTTGTTGGAACCTGGAGCGAGGAATATGAAACCCGTGACCTCCTTCATCCATCTCTTTAGCTCCATGGTATCCAACCCTCACATATTCTTCATCGTGGGGTTCGGAGTAGAGGTTCTCCTGGTACCCTTTACACCACACAGAAATATTAAAACTTTTTATTAAACGAAAACTTATAACGCGTCGTGTAAAATTAAAGTATTTTTAATTACATTTTTGTGCACAATTGTTTTAATAAATGTTTTAATTTCTAAATATAACATACTTACTTATAACGCGTCGTGTAAAATTAAAGTATTTTTAATTACATTTTTGTGCACAATTGTTTTAATAAAGGTTTTAATTTCTAAATATAACATACTTACACTCACGAAGCAGGACTCTAATAATGTTAATTTCAATTTAATTTTCTAGTGTACAATGTCAAGCATGAAATGTATGATGTACATAATGATATTGCATATAACGTTGAATCTCTGTTTGTCTTGACCGATTTGCCTCAAATTTTTATTGGAGGAACTCGGAAGAACCACAAAATTGTTCTAAGCTTAGTTTTTAGATTCTAAGTTGAGTACTTAGATGGCTATAAACTTAATTTACGCCAAAGCACGGGTAAACGGCGGGAGTAACTATAAGTACTCTCCAGGCAATTCTGGGTTCTCAAGCTAGTAATGTAAAATGTACAATGTAAAATGTACAATGTAAAATGTACAATGTAAAATGTACAATGTAAAATGTACAATGCAAAATGTAATGTATTTCAAAGTTTCCTTGTGGAAGAATCGGAGAACTAATGCCTTGGTTCTGAAAGCCTGCATACGAACCAATTCCTAGAAATTAAGAAATTCTACAGTAAGACAAATAAAATTGTAGAATAAGAAGACGACAATAAGACTCAAGATATGTTTTTAAATAATCAAATATAAAACACAGTACAGTAAACAAAGAACCGTTTTTTATTGATTTGATGATGCAGCAACTAGTAAAACTGTTAGCTTTATATCAACAAATAAACAGAAAATACTTAAATATATTTGTTGATTGTATATTAGGGGTGTATTTTTAATTTCAAAAATAACTTTTTTCACAAGGAATATTGGGCGGATGGGCTTACCTCCATTATATCCNTGATATCAGTTCGCCCCTCCCCCCCCCCCTGCAGTTAGGTTTTTTCCAGGGTTTTACTTGCTGACAACTTTTCTATAAAAGATATTAAAAATGATGAAAAACTTGCCTTTTAATGTCACATTTTAAAATTTTCCCCCAGGCTCACATCATATACAATTATTCAATAAATGAGGCCCCTTTATGCGAGCCCCCTCCCCCCACGTGGACACGCGTAGGGGGGGTGGCACGTGCACCAAATGCCCCCCTTCCTAGTGCGCACCAGCCACTGTACTTGTATACGTACATTTTTAGAATATATGAAATGTACTTTAATACAATTACCGAAAAATTACAAATAAGACAAATTGTAATTTTAAATTGATATAAAAAATTATTTTCAGATTAATTTTAGTCTTCCTTGGAATTTTCGTGGACACTTCCTTTAAGGAGATCAATACCATGCATGTTTAAAGAGACCAATACCATGCATGTTTAAAGAGATCAATACCATGCATGTTTAAAGAGACCTAAACCATGCATGTTTAAAGAGACCAATACCAGGCATGTTTAAAGAGACCAATACCATAAATGTTTGTGAAATTCGATCTATTTCTCTCTGATGAACATGTTTAAAGAGACTTATACCATGCATGTTTAAAGAGACCAATACCATAAATGTTTGTGAAATTCGATCTATTTCTCTCTGATGAAGTTTATTCACATAAGACATAAAAAAAAATTTCCCAAGAAATATCATTATAACGTATTGACATTAAAAGTTAGCGGCAGAATAATTTCACTCTTCCTTTGAATTTCCGCGAACTTGACCTTTTCATTTAACGTTGTTGATGGGGTTCGCAACTTCACAGTTTTGTAGATTGAAATTCTTTTGAAATTACGTATAAAGTCGACTAAGTATATCTTACTTCAACCAGAAAAGTGTAATCATATACCTGGAGAACCAGGATATGAACTTCTATCAAAGTTTCCGGTTTGCCCTGCTTGCCCTCCTTGCCCGCTCTGAATTCCTTGTCCGTGACCAGGATATCCATTAGATACTGCAGGATTATTATATTCTTGGCCTGGGCGTCCGGCCGGCCGATTATCAGTACCGCCGAACAGATCGTCACCAAAATCAAAATTTCTATTTTCGTTTTTATCAAACTCGAATTTGCCGGCCCAGCCAAAGGAAGGATCAAAGGGAAGCTTTTTATCAACATCAGCCAAAGGGTCTCCAATCTAAATAATGTTCAGAGTTAATTAGACAAAGGGTCTCCAATCTAAATAATGTTCAGAGTTTATTNATAGTAGATAGTAGATAGTAGATAGTAGATAGTAGATAGTAGATAGTAGATAGTAGATAGTAGATAGTAGATAGTAGATAGTAGATAGTAGATAGTAGATAGTAGATAGTAGATAGTAGATAGTAGATAGTAGATAGTAGATAGTAGATAGTAGATAGTAGATAGTAGATAGTAGATAGTAGATAGTAGATAGTAGATAGTAGATAGTAGATAGTAGATAGTAGATAGTAGATAGTAGATAGTAGATAGTAGATAGTAGATAGTAGATAGTAGATAGTAGATAGTAGATAGTAGATAGTAGATAGTAGATAGTAGATAGTAGATAGTAGATAGTAGATAGTAGATAGTAGATAGTAGATAGTAGATAGTAGATAGTAGATAGTAGATAGTAGATAGTAGGAAGAATACTTTGTTTGCAAACGGTTTCCCCCATAATTAATATAAGAATACATTTTAGAATTAAATTATTTACAATTTTTAAATGCAAAGTGATTGAATTGATCCATGGCATGGGCTAATGAATGAATGCCGCGTTTAATGAAGACGACTTTTTAGTGTATTACCTATTTCCAATATCTAAATCTTCAAGCGCAGCATCAGGAGAAACAATTGTACGAACATCATCCGTCTGATCCAATATAAACACAGTGTCGTCTTTGCTCATTACACAAAATTTGTGTCTCAAAATAAAGCTAAAAAAGGCCCCTTGCAGGGGCTAATTTTCGTAGACAAGATCTACCAAATCGAGTGTAATTTCGAAAGTTAGAATAGAAACTAAGGGATTTAGACTCAAGAATAAGCTTTTAAATGTCATCCTTGGTTTCCCAGATTGGTCAACTCTTTTCGTTGAATCAATGTATTATGATTTTTTTCTCTTTTCTTACACTGCTGTGATTTAATGTTAAAGGGACTGTAAGCGTAATTTCAAGTGACACTCCGCGTAATGCATGATTCACAACGGTACCCACTAAACCTTTGTTTTAACAAATATGAATTAGATTTCAATGTTTATTATTTCTATAATACTAATCATACTAAATTTTGACTTTTCTACTGAAAGAAAACATATAGGAATTATCACAATTAAACACTTTAAAACCCTAGAAAAACCACAATATCTTTCATATTCATTGATCAGATAAAGGTTTCCAAGTTGGTACCGTTGTGAATCGGGTAAAAGGGACACAAAAACTTTTCTCTCTCCTCCTGTTCTGGTAAAATGCAGAAATGCATTTAATCTTAAAAATTTAGATTTAATTTGAATCCATTTACCAATTTACAAAATTTTAATACGAAAAATCCTCGGTAAACCTTTTTTTTAAGTACTTGGCGAAACCCAAACTCTTCAGTTTTTATTAATGTTTATAATATTTTAAGTAGAAACAATTTTACATAGAGGCGAACAGATTTTAAAGTTTTAATTTCAAAAGAATCTAAAAGCTTTCAAGTAATTGTATAGAAATAATTCTTTTTAAACTTTAAGAGTAAATTTTTTATAAAACAGTGTTTTCTAACCTTATTAAAAAAACCTTTGGCATTAAAACACAGTTAACACTATTTTACTAGAAACCTTGATATATTGGTAAAAAAACTGAACAATTGCCTTAAATTCAATGTATATTATATCTTTGCAGCTTGATGTTGTAGTCATTTGATATTTCAAACTATGAACACTGTTAGATCAAATAATTTAAGTTTGAAAAATCAAAGGTTTACAATATGAGGTTGCAAAGTTATAAGAAAAAGAAAGTTTGAGTTTGTCTCCAAGACTCAATTCTTTTGAACGAAAATGTCTGTGTGTTTCATAAGTTTCCTTGTCTGATATTGATTTCTTTGTTCCATCTGCACCCGGAGCAAAGGTTCCGTCCTGTGAACCCGGAGTAAAGGTTCCGTCCTGTGAACCCGGAGCAAAGGTTCCATTCTGTGAACCCGGAGCTAGATGTTCTTCGTCCTGAACCTGATAATCCATCCCTGCTCCGGGTACATCGGAATATCCAGGGAACAGCAGGGTTTGATCCTCATCCTCTCCAAACTGCTGAGACGGATTAGATTCAGGTTGAGGTGTATCCAAACTGAAAACAGAATTTAAAATTTAAAAAATCATTGATTTGATTTTCATATATTTCCGATTAAAAATGTTAAAAAACTGTTTGCTATAATTTGCATTAATATAATTTCGGTATAGAAAGACAATTTGTTTAAGGTATCGACAAATGTGTATTTGCCAGCAGCTTGAAAATTGATTTTTTAAGTGAAATGAGTCAATGCATAATTGCTGTGTTTTATTTAAAGTCATAAATCGAGACCACCGGGTATATCCCACTGTAGTAATAAATATAAATAATGTTTTGAATAATTAAGAAAAAAAAGGTGAAATTATCTAATTATTCTGATATAATTTACGATATAACAAAGATAGTTTTTCTCCAGTATCTTCCCCAATTAAAATATTGGATATTTTTAACTTTTAAATCTGCGTCTAATACGTTCCAAATTGACGTCAGTTTTTATTCAAAAAAAATTGTTGAAACGTTTTATTTTTTTAAGAATTGAAATTGTTCTACGTTGCTGGAATTTATAAATTGAAACACAAACAAAATCATTTCCAGGGAGGATTATTTTCTTTGAAAATTATATTAAAAATAAAAAAGTTGGAAAGTTGTATAAGAAAGTTTAAACATCGTAATTTTAAACAAAAACAACAAGATAAACGTTCATTCACACCACGCATTAGTATACAAAAAATGGAATAAACGAATATATTGCAGGTTTTTATATTGGCCGTTAAATTGAATTTTGGAATTAAATCGTAATATTGAAGCTCTTTCTTAAATTATTAATAAAGACTGGCAAGAAACTTTTCCAATCATTATATCTTTGTAACCTGAAGCTTCAAACCTTAGATAATTATAAACTTTGGAATAACAACAATCATCAGTTTAGAAAATGTAGGAGTCAGAAAAATAGAGTATTGTACAACTTATTCAATTTTTTTTTCTATTTTTTTATTAACAAAAACAATAATTTTAACATTTTAACAAAAAATTGATAAACTCTACAATGTATAACAGATGTGATAAATATAAACATAAAGTGAGTACAAGAACACTGTGGAATAGTATAACGCAATATAGCATTACTGGAGTGTATTCGATGTTTTACAGAGCAAATAGTTTTCCTTGTAACTTATTAAATCACTTATTAAGTTAAATTGGTTTAATTCTTCTTTATCTCATGTTCATTGGACTATATAAAAAGGACCAAAGTCGTCTTCACATTCCAGAATATTCTGGTTCTCACTTTTAACATTCAACATTTAAAATTTTAGTTCAAAAACAAAATAAAATAAAGTTAGATTAGATTAAGATTAAATTATTTTAATTAAAATAAGAATTGTTTCTTATTTCGCATTGATTAAACTAACATTGTTCATTGCAAAGATATTTGCAAAGTTTTGCAAAGTTTGTAAGTCTGTCAGAAACTATATAAAGCTGCAAAAAATTGTAACAATTTACAGAAGTGTCGAGAAAAAAGCCCCCCCCCCAGCCCATCTTTATATCAATATTTCTTAATCCAATCAAAATTATTTAGCTAGTTTCATAGCTTTTATTAAAGGGACTGTATTTGTTTCTGCAAATAACCTTGTATTTATAGAATGGATTGTCCGATGCACAACGGTATCCTTTAACTAAATGTTCAATGTTCTCTTTAAAACTGAATTACGCGGATTATTATATAATCTAATTCTAAAAAAGAAAAATATTGATATCTTCCACATTATTACTCAGCAAATAAAGATTAATTTGGTATTGTTGTAAATTATTTTGGATCACTTGAAATTACTTCTACAACCTTTTTTAACACTAATATCCAAATTTTTGAAATAAAATAAAAATAAAATATTTCGTAATGTTAAATAGATAGAGACATGTCAGGTCTTACAGAGCTTTTGAGGCTTTTTAGCTTCACAACTATTAGCTTTCAAATCTAAATCTCAATTTCAAATTAATAAAACAAAATATCAAAAATGGGAAAGATAAAGCTCCTTAAAATGTAATGTACAAGTATTTTAGTAAATCTAAGTGACCCTATATTCCATGCAAAGATGAATCCTTATTCTGATCAAAAATATTGAAGAATAAAGATAACATCGATTTCTGACTCAAAATATGTTTTTTTTTTCTGTAAATATCTCTATGTTTGCTATAAGCAAGAAAAGTTCAATCCATTTTTGCAGAGAAACCACAAATGAAAGTAAACAGTTTTAAAAAACAAAAGCGTGCATATCTAATTTATATTTGTTCAGACAAAGCTTCTAAGGGTACCGTTGTAAATCGAGCCTTGTCATCTTTTCCATGCAGTGTTACTTGAAATTACGCTTACACTCAAATAAAAAACTGAAAATTGGGTTGAATCAAAGGAATTTTAGAAACATGTTTCAGACTCCATGAGTTAAATTTCATTAGATATCTGGTCAAACGTATAGAATATATCATGTTGGAAGTGTGGATGCTGTCCGATTCCGTCCAGATGGAAGGCCATAGGGTTCACATGGAGATGAATAAAGGCCAACAACTTCTTGGTGATCCCCTTCGCGCCTGCAGGCATATTACCGGGGTAAAATCTACCAGGCAAACCAATAGAATAATAAAAAATACTTTTCCCAGGATTTTAAATTTTAAAAAAATAGTGTTTTTTATATAAAGTCTCTGTTTTAAGAACTTGATGCAATTTAATTAGAACCAGGGGGGAGGGAGCAAAAACTTTTCGCTGAGCCACAATTCTATTGATCTCAATATCAACAATGTAAACTTTTAGATGCGCGAAATCCGCCAATTTTACCATTTGATTAATGCTTGAATTTAAGTTTATCATATAATTCCTATTCTGGAAACCTAAAAAAATAAAATAGTCACACAAAAGGAAGGGCTGAAAAAAATATTAGATATTTTTTTTTTTATATTAATCCAATGAACACTTGACATTAACATAATTTTTCTTAAAGATATCTTATTATAAATTTATATTATTATCATATTATATTATTTTTATATTAATCCAATGAACACATGACAATTACACAATTTTTCTTAAAGATATCTTATTATAGATTTGTATATGAAGATCCTTCATATTTTCATAAAATGCTTGGCGAGAACAGAATATTGAGAGCTTTTGATGACTTCTAAGTAAGACAAGAACCAAAACATCCAATAAACAAATTTGTGCGTACTTAATGCAAAAGTAATTATTATTGTGAATTTCTCAATTTTTTCTCATAAGCAAGAAATGCGCAAGTCACTTTTGTATAGAAACTGGCTTAAATGAAAGTTAAACAGTTTAAATAAACAATGACATGGATATCTAGATCATTCTTGATTTGTCAAAGCGTTCAAGGGTACTATTGTAAACCAGACAGTGCCATTTTTCCACCTAGTAGGACAAGAAGAGGGTAGATCTTATCATAGTTATACTTCATATTTTCATCAAATGCTTGATGAGAACAAAATATTGAGAGCTTGACATGTTAGGACTGCAAAGTAAGACAAAAACCTCAAATAATCATTTTTGTTTTAACTGAAATATCAATGATTATTTACAATTGTAATCTTCTCTACAAAAGTGACTTGCGCATTTCTATACTGCAGGAACATATGTAGGAATTATCAGAACTAAATGCTTTTTAAGCAAAAAAAAACGAAAATATCTTTCACGTTGTTGATCAGATAAAAATTGTAAGGTTAGTGTTGTGAACCAGATATTAAATCCCTATGGGGTTCAGAGTGAGAATCAAAAATGTTAAAAACACGTTTCTTTGCAATTGTGAAAACATTAATAGAACTAGTTTATTACTAATTATATCTGTTTGTTTGTTTGATCATAACTCAGGCACCCCTTAACCGATTTGCCTCAAATTTTGACTGAGGAACTCTGTTTAACCATATAGAAATGTTCGTAGATTGGTTTTAAATGTCTAAGTTGAATAGGTAGGTTTTTGAACTTGTAAAAAAGAAATAAAAATGGATAGCGTATCCATCTAATAATGTACAGTTAATTTCTTGATTCTCTAACGTCACGCTTTTAATAAGAAACCAGTTATTAATGTTTTTTCTAAAAATATAATTTTTCTATCAAAGACGTATCTCATTGTATGGGTTTTATTCAAATTTTAAACTCATTCTTATTGTTTCTTCAGGGATTCCTTTCAGCATGAAATTTATCAGTTCAATTTAAAGATTTCATACAGTGTTTATACACTGAAAACAATTACAAGTTTACAAGTAAATAAAAAAGCTGTTATTTGACAGATTGTTTCCGTGTTTGTGTGTATCTAAGCTGTTTAAAAGCTTCACGGTATACTAAACCCCATTATTTCTTCGGTCAGAGTACTGAAAATCATTGAAGTACACACCGAAAGTTTAGTTAATGTGGCTTGATAGAAATCAAAATGAAACAATGAAAAAATGGTAACTTGAAAAGCAGCAGTTTAAAACTAAAAATTGGTAAAAATGACCTAGTAGTTTATATTACATAGAATATATGAATATGATTAATTTAACTACATATCCCTTTTTCTAATCCCAAAACAAATAAATGTTGAATCTTATTGGAAAATATCCGATTACGTCCATCAATCCGAGTATACAAGATTATTCTTTTTTCTTATTTTCTTCGATTTTACAATAAAAAATTATATTGGTAGATTAAACGTATTAGTAAATCTGTGTAACTTGTAAAAAAAACATCTAAAAGTACATGGGATATCTTAAAAAACGTAGTCGAGGCAATTGGGCCTAAATTTTCACCCATTTTCCTCTTTTGGATAATAGAATTGTTGTTCCATTAGATTGGAAATTTTTCGTAAAGAAATTGAGTCTTTGCCACAAACTCAAATTTTCTCATCCCTATATCTTTGCAAACTAATGATGTAAGATAAAAGGGTTAGAAAAGAATATTTTGTGGCAAAAACTCATTTCCTCATTAACGTCAAGAAAGGAAAATTGGTTTAGAAATGAGGCTCTGATATTAAATATTGTTTTAATGTTTGTGAAGTCTCATCTATTATTGGTGG